TAAGCTTGGTCGGATGAAAGCTGTAAACTTCCAGCGGGCTATTGAGATGTTGGAATTGGGTGTTTTGATGATTACCCAAAATCGAGCTTATATTAAACATATTTCGATCATATTCTTATGTCGAGGATTACCAAATTCAGGCTAAATTGCAATAATAAACATTGCAATTATAATTTCTTCCAAATGAGTTGAAAATTTTAAACCAGCCCATTATCTCTCACTTTTTTTAATTTTCAGCAACACGCCCTCAAAATTAGTGGGCGGGTGTGTTTATAAATTTTAGCAGCAATCGGGAGAATAGTATCAAAAATAGACTACTTCCTGATTATTCTTGCCTGAGGCAATCAGATTAACTACACAACAGAAGACACGCGCTGAACACGAGGTAAATATAAACGATATAAAAGATGAAAAGATTGTTTTCAAGATATACATTTGGCCGCTTTTCCGATAAAAAAAATTCAAAATAAAGAGCGGAATATAGCTTCAAAGTAGAGCCAATTTTTCTTTGTCGGCTTAACTTGAAAAATATTGCTTCGGTGACGGAACGATATACCCGCTACTGTACGTACACACTCAGGCGTCCTTGTTTCTGATTGGTGGATTAAATCGCTAAGTTAGGGGTGGGCGCGTAATATAAAATTTTATTTGGAATCATTCACGTAATAAATACCTCAAAACACAAAAAGTGTTGCCATGGGACCGCCTAGTACTTAAGTATTTGTGTTGTAATATAGATTTGAAATCAGAATTGAAATGCAGACAAATATCCCAATAAAATTGAGATTATGTCTGTTGCCTAACTTTAAATATTTAAATAACTAGCACTGAAAAAGTAATAATATAATATATTTACGAACATCGTTGCCATAGAACCAATCGAATCCTGAAGGCCACCTTATTGCTAAAAGATAAAAGATTTATGTAATTAACACATTTTTTGTTCGGATAACGACCAAATTTTTTAATTCCGAAATTAGTTTTTATTTACAATGATGCCAAAATATGTTCAATGCGCATAAAGTTTTCACAACTTTATTTGTGAAACAGATCCAGAATCTATAAGAAAGAAAAACGCTATTGCAAAGGTATTTGCTGCCAAAAACATACAAAATGGTTACAATTTTCACAAAACCTTGTACTATTTTGCGTGAAAATGGATATTGCGAATCTTGCGTACCATGTTTTTCACATGGCAAATAAACACCTTTTTATTCGTAGGCGTCCTGCATTCACGATAGCGAAGACACGCCTATTTCGCACGAAATGTCTTTATCACACTGATGCAAAAATTTAGTGATTCAGTAGAGCGTATAATGCAAGTTTGTGCTTCAGAATTCAACAGACCATGGGGGAACAGGGCGTGACAAGCCAAGATCGTCGGAACCAATCACAATATTGGGAGAACTGCTGGATTACTTTTGTGTAAATACCTAATTCGGTTTGCGCTTTTCTTGATTTCCAAGTAATCATACTAACACTTCCTTCACAATATCAAACAAAGTCAACAGATTGTAGTAATTCGACCAAGACTGTTATTGCAATTATTTATTTCAGCTGTTTCAAATATAATGCTTGCATCAAGTATGCAAACCGGTAATTTTACTTGTTTACGCTGGTAATCGTGAACTAAAGCGTATGACATATGAGGGCCATGAGAAGTAAATGTCAGATTCTTTCCGGTTTGTACACACGCAATTCCTTGTATGTATGACCTCAATCATATAATGCTTCCAATTATGGTTTTGTATGTGGATCAAATATAGCAATATGAAGCAAACAACTTCCGTCTAACCGTGCCTTACTGGAAGTTGATCATAATCCCCCAAGCGCAGGAGGTGTATTCTGTTCGGCAATGAAAAGTAAAGTTATGAAATCACCAGCACAAACTCCTTCGGTCACTTACGCGTTTACTTCATTTCTCAATATCGAATACTCTCGAAATATTGAAAATTAAAAACAAAGATACTGTACTGCGGTCTAGTTTGTTAACATCTACGACTTAGATTCTAAGTGTTTGAATATTTAACAAATATTAAGGTTTTGGAAGAAGTAATTATGAATTTGTCTTTACTTTGATGGAGAAAAGTGTCGACGTCAATACGATCCCAACAATATTGTTGGACTTTTTGTGATATACATAAATTTTTATACAACATAATGACACATCGTCATATATTACTCGGATATTCTGGGTATTTTGCCTTAATTTTACCCAACTGACATTGATCTTCCGAAACTGGCAACTAAATTGCGATCACGCATATAAAGAAAGATACGACGCAGGAAATCACACTTTCATCAGGTACTCAGCGTGTGTTCTCGAACATCAGCAACGTGCCGACAGCCTCTATGCCGCGTGGGCGATTCATGGGTGCATTGTCACGGGACAAAACCACGGGGTAAACAATGGGACACGTGGACGAATCGACACATTCTCAAAGATATGTGATATTTGTTTTACTACTGATTAAATATGACTTGGTTGTCAAATTACACGCGTGAATAGAGTGTCATTGCACTAAAGCACGTTGCTCGTTACAATCGAGGCCACCCAGCTCCCCACTCCCACTCTCCTTCCGCACGTATCAATCTTCATATTTATAAGATGGTTGCTCCCTAAACTTTGACCTCATCCCCCCTTCATAAAAAAGTCTTTCCATACCTCACCAATACGAGTTTTTTCACACTTCCGGCAACGTTTTAATTAGTAGGCTTGTGAAGACTCGTTAATAATCTCTCGAAAATGACCTTGTGGTTTCATATTTGAAAATGCAAAAACTAATTACCTCAACATATTCATTGATAACTTTAATAGTTAGTGAAACATGACTAAGAACCTAGTTCGGATTCAAGAATTACAAAAAGTCGATGCATTACAATTTGTTTGAGTGGGTGGGTTTGATTTCAGTTGTTGTGTCATGGTCCATGTCTGACAATTCATTGTTTTAAGCTGTTTTTACCAATATAATAAGAAAAATAGTAAAGAAAAATGGCTGTAATCAACGTTTTAATTTAAATGGTGTCGCCACCCTTTGTTGGTTGCTAGGTACCCTAGTTTGGTGTGCTCATGTCGAACTAATAAAAACTTGATAACAAACAACAGTTATAATGACTGTAAGAAAAATTGGTGCAATTTATCGACAGGATAAAAATAGTTTATTACCGACAGTAAGCCCTGCTGTAAAATTGCTTCAGTTTAAAATATCTTCGTGAGTCACTTCGCACAAACTTCCTTCGTAGTGGTGACTTGAAAATTCCACTAAATGTTGCTTTACATATAACGCTAGATCGTTAATTAGATTATGTGTTCTAGATTATATGAAAAATATTTTAGTTTCTATTGCTCTAAATATTGCGAGAAATATACAAAAGTTCTTCGTTATAATAATTTCCTTTGTCTTCATAACCTGCAAGAGTTTTGCATATTTAACAAAAGCGACCCTTCACAAAGCAAGGATTATTGTTATTGAATCAGGTGTGACACATTCCAGTTGAATTGGCCAATCACTCGGGAAGAAAACGTGGTGTTTTTATTCTCCCATCACTTGCTGATCCGTTGTCCTTGTCCCAGTTGCGACTCGAATTATATAAGTTGCGATGAATTCCATTTTGGCCCTTTGTTGTTTACTTATATAACAGAATATCGGGTGGCAGAAGTTCTCGTGGTCTAAATCGGTAGGTTGTTGATTGAAAGTTGTGTTTCGTGTTTTCGTAATATTGAGATCATTTTTGTTTCATTATACTGTCACCTGAAAGCTTTAAAGTTTGTCGAATATTATATACAAAACGTTCATATATATAGCACAAACTATTTCAACTTTCAGTAGCTCAAAAACAAAGAATTTTGAAACCAAAAGCTAGGCCAAAAAAACAACAACATAATATTTCGCTCTTTCAACAGAAGTTTGAATAATCGTGCAATCTGGAATTTGTTTCAGAAGTTTACCATGCAGCTCTTATTTTATAGTCAAGGTAAAACAGTCTTCTTTCACTTCTCGCATGAAGTTGAATAATGGCATTTGCTTATATAATTGAAATTTCATAAATGTGGAAAATAATAAACCTTGGCACCTCTTGCACATTTTTTGCGTATTCGCACGACTAAAAACCACTTTCTTAAATAGAATTTGTAAAGAAGGGCACCCACGCTATGTCATGCAAGAGTATATTTTGTTCAATTTTAAAATCCAGATATTGATTTGCTGGTGTATTTCTGAAAACGGCCTATCAAATGTGTTTAACGCACAAAAACCAGACACTGGAAATATTCAGTCGAGTGTATATCTATCTGTGACCATATAAGGTCAAATCCAACATTTGGAATGCCATTAACGACATCGAAGGGTTGTCGTATATCAATCGATGAATGGGGAATGAATGGCGTTTCATAAACGACGGGCAAAAAGATTTAATGGCATTCCAATAAAGAAACGCTGATATACCATGTGTTTAATCCCTGTATCAAGGATAAAATATATTTGTCTTACAGGGTACAAAGTTCAGCTTTGTTCCTTGCCTGTCGAATAACATAAAAGCTTTGGTCACAAGGGAACTGATAACACACAGTACTGAAATAACGCAAATGCTTAGTTGCCGTGCGACTGTTTTCATCAGATTCAAGTTTAACATGAAATTTTATAAAGCGGAATTAATTTGAAAAATTTAAAAAATGTGGTTTCTGGGGGTCATTTATATTGAATACCCGCTTGAATCTCACTAGCCTGTGGTGCAATATTAGTGGCCCTAACGTTGTGGGCGTGGGCGAGGCAGTTACGTAACGGCCGCCCATGAGCACGTTTCTTTGTGATTCTGAAAGCTTCACGCTATCAAATCAGCTGTTTCACGTATCGTGCATGCAGTGATCACGCCGCGAGCGCGTGAACACGAGAGACGTTTCCCATCGACGTCGCGATTCAAGCGTTCTCATTGGTTGATTCGCCTCACCCGCCCATTATTTACGTTTGTTATTTATCATGCCTCGGTGCAATCCCCGACTGTACCTTTTTTTGTAACCTAACTGATCACAGAATTTGTCTCAGATGGATGTTATTGTATAATTCGTTCGCACAAAGGCGGCAGCAGTTTTCATTGCTATCATTTTACGGTAGAAATTTTCGACTAAATACATTTAACTGGAAAGGAATGCGATCACATCCCTGTTCACCATCACGATCTCCTGACTTCGACGGATTCAACGTAAGTTTTTCAAATATTATAGGGTAGATTGAACTGTTTGAAAGTGGATTTTATGTTTTTTCGCTTCGGTACGATGAAATGATTTCGTAAGCTGGTACCGGTAGCAATATTGAGTTTAATCAGATTAGTCACGCACCACTTATTGCTAATACCTGTAAGCGGAGGGTTCAAATATTACTGAAGTATCCTTGACTTGTTGAGTCAAATTGTAATTTATATCTGTATGGCTTGAAGTTATGTATCAAAGTCTGCCTAGGCCACGGGCTTGTTAAAATAACAAAACAGTATGACATTTAAGCTAATTATTATCGAACACTTCATAAACTGATAATACAGCCATGAGAGGTTTTTAATTGTGGTCATCTTTTATATGTAAAACATTGAAATTTGATAAAATTTATTAGTTGTGACCCTGGTTGAAAATTTTTGGGTTTTTTGAACGGAAACAAATGAAAGTAAAAAAATCGTAAATCGTCTTCCACGTCTTGAACCAATGAATATTTTCCATAGTTAATGGGTAAAATGATATCTTTTTAGGAACGTGTGGGCTTTTGTATGTGTGTCTCAGTTGCATAAGAAAATAGTGCGCCTCTTATCGTCATTTCACACTTACGCTAGTTCTGCGCAATCTGTGCCCACTAAACGTTGCTACTACGTCATCGGCTCAGACGGCGACGCCCACACCCGAGTTTCCCCATTGACAGACCTCGATCACGCGTTGCCGGCGTGATCGGCAAATGTGCGTCACGTGTCGCGAAAGACTTCTTAACTGTATGAATGCCACTATATAATATTATTATGTGTATTGGCTTCATATGACAGTATGATCGTGTAAATTATCGAATTGACTTTTATTAAAACTTTATTTTTTTTTTCAGGACTCAATATCACCAACTATACCATATTGCGATTCTCATAGAATGGTATTATTTTCAATGATGCCTGACGAACACACACAACACGATCACGATCGTTCTCGACACGACAGCTCAGCGTGCAAAGGGTGTAGTGAATGTGATGCTGCTAAAGTACTAATTTCTATACGTAACTGCGACTCAACAAGTACAATGACTTCAACTACCACATCGACTGTTGCTTCACCAGCGAAACTCGTGAGCCCACCTCAAAGAAAAACGCTATTACCTCCAAGGCTGCGATTTAGAAAGCAATATATCAACAATTATAGTTATCCCAGAAAGACTGATTCTTATTCGGCTCCACCAACGCCGTGTGAGAGTCCAAAGCCGGCGGACAGCCCCCCTACTACTTTAACCCCTCCATACACTCCCCCACCGAACAATCACAGCACAGACTCTCAATACGTTCCTGCTCAATTTACCAATTCTCAGCCTACTGTGGCAATGTCAAATCAATCGTCGTCAACCGTAGTGACTGCCTCGCAGAATCATTTTCTACAAAGTGTCAGTAATAAGTTACTACGTCACAGCAACCATCAGATGCTACACCATCCTATTTTATTGGAAAATCATGGACGCCGAAGACACGGTAGTGATGGTTATCTAATTCATCACACCGCTAAAAGAATGCGTATTATGCTCGGGGAAGAAAGGCATCAAACCATGGTTGCACCTAGTGGAAAAATAGTACCCGAACCTCGTACAGTGATTCAGTCGCCGCCAACATCGCAAGAACCTGGGTGTTCACAAAACGTTACGACGGCAGAATCATTTCCAAAACCTGTTTCCACTATGCACTTAGAGGCTCCAAACCTTTCCCCAAGCTGGTTTCTATCTTCCCTACCGCCAAGCAATTGCGCTTCTCCAACCGAATTGGAAAAGCACATGAATAATAACAATCCGGCGAATTTACGCACACCTTTATATTTGACTCCAATTTCATCTCCGTTGAGCCACCACCATCACCAAAACGAGGAGGCACCTTCAGACCATCAGCAGCTATCATCTATTCAAGAGGAAGCTGATAGCACACGAAAAGAAGATCTTAGATCACCTCCCAAGATTGTGCAAGCAACTCCGGAGCAGGCTTTGAGAGTTGAAGCCACCAAAAGTCATGACCATCATAATAATTTGAAAGTTCATTGGAATGATAAGCCCGAAGAAATATTTCCGACCCAACAACATTCACCGCCACCTGTAGTAGCAAAAGAAACAACCCCGAGTTCAACGCAGTTTAATGACGCTGCTTTCGTAATTCCTAAACCAATTCCAAGACCTCTCAGGGAAATTAAATCCAACGTAAACAAGCCAACTCCGGTACATTCCGTGTCGGTACCGACAATATCGAAAGAGCAAGAAATTAACGTTTCTTCTGTTAATCTTGTCAAAATGGAACAAGGAAAAGGCAAAGACACCCAACCTGGACAATTTTTACCTGTTGCCGGAACCAATATACAAGCAATGCCTATCATGATCATGGGGAACGTGCAAAACCTCACTCAAGCCGGAAGCGCGGTACTTTTGGTTGTGAACCCACAACAACAGCAACAAATCTCCACTACTGTAGTATCTACAATATCACAAGCAATTTCACCGCCTCCAGTAAGTTCACCAAGGTCTCCGACTGCTATTGCACCAGCAACATCAAAACTTCAACCATTGGCGCCTAGTTGCGCGCCAATAATCATTGGATCGACCAATGGGTTAGCTTTCAACCAAAACAATCAACCAATACTCATCGGGGCAGGTTCCCCGTCGAACAGTCGAGACGCAGATCCGAGGAGACGTAACCATCAGTGCCATTATCAGGACTGTGGAAAGACCTACTTCAAGAGTAGTCACCTGAAAGCTCATCTCCGTACTCACACAGGCGAAAAACCTTTCAAATGTGTTTGGGAGGGATGCGATAAGTGTTTCGCAAGATCAGACGAACTTTCTAGGCACAAGCGCACTCACACTGGTGAAAAACGATTTGAGTGTCCGGTCTGTCAACGAAGATTCATGCGAAGTGACCATCTCACTAAGCACATGAGACGTCATACCGAAGGTCGTAGAATTCCTAACTGGCAAAAAGAAGTTGCCAAGTTGAATCCTAATTCACAGAAATCTCCACCAAGAAATCAACATGCTGCTTCAATTGCCCCAGTTCTCTTACCCAATGGTCCCGTTCTTAAGACCGAAGTCACTATGCATTCTACTCCTTTGCAGTTGTCCCAACATGTGTTCGCGGCTGGTGTTGGGAGGCAGCAGATCAAAATTGCCCCAGCGCCCCCTAAAGAGCACTCATCACCCACTCTTACCCCGGCGTAATTACTCAGAAATACTGAATACTTGTCTTCCACTGTACGCATATGTGCGTGGCACAATGTCATTTATAAGCTGAATTCAAATCTGAACCTTGTATAACGGTGGATGGAATATATATATATGTCTCATGTTACTGCTATTTTCTTTCAAATTGCCGACAGTGTTCCAATATGTCGAAATTTATCATTGAAATATACTGATCATCCGTGAGTGATATGTAACTCGTGTTTGATTTTATATAATTCAACGATAAGTTTGTTTCAAGTATTTTTCTGTTTTGTCGAAGCGACTTTTTTCGAATTATTTTGTTCCACTTTGTATTCTTAATATATATCATGAAAATGCAATATGGCAGCATAATTAAGTAAGGGTATGTGGTTGCAGAAAAGGTTGGCAAGATGCCGAGTTGAGTTTATACAGGATCTATATAAAAAAGGTTAAAAGACTATTTTTTTTTGGAATTCATGGTAGTCGACTCGTCATAGCACAAAGGAGGGACAGCGCTTTTTCGTGATAAGCTTGTTAAATTTGAGCAAGATCCCATCATTTGGTGTTGGCCTATGCATGAATTTCGTGTGCCGCGAAAAGATTGTGAGGTCGATAAGTTATTCGTTGAAGAGAAGAAACGGTTCGAATCATTTCATTACAGAGTTTCATAATATGATTGAGTCCTCGCATCGGATTTGTATGATCCGATGATCATACATAAGTGTAAGTAAGAGAACCCTACATTAAGTATTATGACTGGCCAGATGTCCAAAAGTTCGGGGTTCTTCCGTAGTATGTGAATCAATATGGCGGTCACCGGAACGTAGTATGTGTACCAGGTTAGGGTTAGGCCATAATTGCAGGTACAAATACTACGGGAGTCACTTGGCTAGTCCCCGAAATCGTAATATAACTAAAATATGAAAAAATGAAATTATGGCTTAACCCTAACCTGGTACACGTTAGGTACTACGTACCGGTGTCAGCCATCTTGGTTCGCATACTACAGGATTACCAAGTTAGGAGCATAGGTACGGCGACCCCTCAGTAGGTTCCGGAATGTTGGGCTTTTAAATGTCGGGACTGGCAACTTTTCATTGAAACTAAACTTGAATTCGAAATTTTTGTCAATCTGAGGACTGTTAATTGTTTTTGTGAGCGCAGTCAAGTGCGAGAACAGTTTATTACGTAATGATTATTTATTTCTCAATTAGGATTTTTCTCGATGACAAAGAGAATATAAAAACAACTGCGACGTAATCACATCAGTTTTGGGAGCGGGCACATATATTCATTTAAAAGCGTAACAATATAACACACACTGTATACAACAATATTAGATATACTGCCAATGGTGTTAAGTAGATACAAGTTTAAGAATTAGAAAAATTCTATCTAGCACTAGTGGTGAGCCTTCAAAATCTTCATTTCTCGTTGATTAATTGAGGAAATGTTTAGAGTGCGGACCTTTATTTTATTCACTTGCTTGATGACCAGCGATCATAATTTTCGCACCATATGTTTCCTATGATTGACACAATGAATTTTGATCATATTTGGAGTAGTTGTAATTAGGAATGCAATGATGCTACGGTCTGTCATAACTGGGGAGAATCGATTGCACATGCTCTGATATGGGCAATCGGAAATTAGCGTTTTTGCCTGCTTTGGGAAACGCTGTGATAAACAGAGACAGAAGCATAGCAAGCTATAGCTATTGATTTGTTATATCCTACAACCACCTTCAAGAACAAAGTGTAAGACAACACATGCAGCGATTGAGACTGCACCCTACCCTTTTATAAATGAAAAATCAGCATCTGCTTCATTATAACAGGCCTTGGTGCGATCCTGTTCACGCATTTATGTCACAAGAAAAATGTGTAGGCCTATATCATTAAATTTGTTGTGCTTATGTGTGTGCGTTTTTAAAATTTCTCTAATCCCGGGTTTGTTGAATAAAAAAAAATAGAAATCCCGATCCCGAAATTAGAGTCTCGCCATATTAAAACAGTGAAAATGGCTGACGATTTTATAAAGTCAGCTTGTGTCTATTTGTTTCGGTATCGAATAAAATGGTTCCATTACATTTGAACCCACGTACATTTGAACCCATGACAATTGCACCTGTATGCTATTGCACCTATGGCATTTTTTTTGTTTCACGGATAGTTAAACCCATACTAACCCTAACCCATGGGTTTTAGCACCCGCATATAGATTGAACCCGTGGATATACGCATGGGTTCAAATGTACATGGGTTCAAATGTACGGTCACCGAATAAAATATATCTGACAGGCATGCACTCTCATATTGTACCCACCCCTCCCAAAATATTTGGCCGTGCACACAAATTTTCTCTCATAATGTTATCTCAATAGTGACTTCTGCAGTGTTTGACTACGTTAGCCGAGATCGAATGCGATGGGAGTTGACTTTACCGGCCGCTTAGTCGTATGTATCTCTCTGTGTCTATACTGCTAAATAAATAGTAAATAGGGGAAAGTGGGGAAGGTTGTGACACTTTTTTTCTTTTGCATATTTTGAGCCGTTAATTCTGCGTATTCACTTAAGTTGGCGGGACTAATGCATAGAGGGGTAAATGTAGTTTTTATTCAGCGACTAAGAAATTTCCTTGCGACCCACATCTTACTACCAAAATGCTTTGAAAAACGTCTGTCAAGTGTTGCACTGTACCCCACTTGTGGGGCACATTCGGACAGACCCTGGGGCACAATGGGTCAGTCTGCCAAAATTCAACGATGTATGCCCTTAAAAATAAGCAATTAATCAGCATAATCGTCTAAAGATCAGGGAGACTTCAAATTTGAAGATTTAATATTTTCAAAATCAATGTTCAACCCAGTATATATTTACGGTTCAACTGAAATAGTTCATATATTTTGACAAAAAATTTTGCAAATAAATTTGATTATTTCCTTCCTTGAATCTAAATGTGAAAATATTATTGATTCTCGAATATATTCCATATTGGGCCATGGGTCGAAAGAAACCATAATATTACACAAAAATAACGCATCTCTAGGTCTCTAAGCACTTATTGTATCAAACACTCTCGAATTGTGCCCTGTAGGGCATGTCCCAGTGAACCCCGGTCCATTGTTCCCCATAGGAAACAAATATTTTCGGCGAAATTCGGAAGGCACATTCACTCGCCAACGTTATGGATATTTTAGAGTGGACTAAAGCTGAAAAATATCAGACGGTGGTTTGTCATGTTGGAAAGGCTAAAGTCGAAAAAAGAAAAAACTGGAACTGTGAAATTTTAGTTTCAACCTCCCAAAACCAATTTCACTTCATAGCTTGTGCCGCTCTACCCGTCCGTTGTCCGTTCGCGGGGACGTTGTAACTCACCGAAGGGCGGACTGAAACTTCGAACCGCTGACAGGATTGCGGATATAGTATTAGTGTGAGAGCTGATTTTCCACTGTGTCCCATGTCCCAACGTGCCCCACCTTCCCCTACTACTAAAATATTACTTGTTTTCTTTTATTTTGATTGCTGCACTTCGTTTGGCGCAATAACTCAATCCCATGTTCATCATTCGAAAAACAGGACGTACTATTATGTGGAATCTATTGTGTATTTACCATATTATTTATGTGATATACAAACAATCCAAAGGCAAATGAGTCTAAGGTGTTCAATGTACAACTTATTGCAAGAGTATTCAGGTGATGAAACTACGGAAAGGAGGGATTTTATTTCCAAGAGAAGTTTGCAAACAAAATATCACTAGAATCAATTTGTCATCTAGTATTGCGCCCCCACTAGGACTGCTCTGTGCTGTGACTGGGAACCATACTGCTATGAAGTTTCCATCTTAGGTGGATCACGAAATCCCATAACGCAGCGGTTCCCAAAGTGCCGATTTTCTAAGTGCGCCCCGAAAATTAGCAGAATTGTGTTAAACATAACTAATATATTATTGAATATGTTAAATATATATTGTATTCATAAATGTTTCATTGTTTCTTATTTTAAATGCTCTGTATATTGTTGTTTTTCATCGGTTACGTGGTGTCCGCCTCTATTGTTAAGCAACTGCTGCGTAACAATAGAGGTAGACAATACTTCCTGCAATTTTATTTTTGCTGCACCGTGTTTAGCAAACATTGGTATTCATTCCAAGTATTTCAAAGAAAAATCAGGCAGGGATTAAGAAGAAGAGTTGACCTTTTGCCGTTATTCCTTAGGCCATGTTTACACACTTCAAAAGGCATAAAGTACACATTAACATCACAAAATGAATTTTTTTTTGAAGGTAGCTATCTTTTTTCGTGACAGCGCGCCGTGAGTTTTTTTTTTGGCGCTGCACGAACAAAAAGTTTTGGAACCAAACGGATAGCAGTTAAAAAATTATATTTTAACATCTCGCCCTCGATTTAAACAGGTCACATTCCTTGCTAAAGACAGGTCCACCAATAGCAATTAGCAACCCTCCTAATAGCTTCATAATCAACATTAAATTCGGAAACAAACCGTTAAAAATCGGTTCGAAAAAAAAAGGTTCAACGTGATAGAGTCGTTGCCCTAGAACAGTGAAGAGCTCAAATACAAAGAAGAATTTGAAGAACAGTTTTGTACAAATTGTCCACCATACATTTCCTGGATACGTGACAGCACTGTCACTTAGATTCTGTATCTGAAACTAATATTAAACTAGAACCAATATATCAAACTCCGGTTGTCAGGTCAGGCAACATCAATAATAATCCACACGAAAACTCAAAAAAGAGACTGACGGCTATCCACTTGCTTTTCAATAGTTAATAATAACTTCGTTTTCATCAATAATAATAATTTATTTGGTTTTAGAAACTCAATTCATGGACAAGAATTATAACTATAACAAGGAGTAATAATCCGGAAAGTAATTTGAAATAAACAACAAAAGTAGGTGGTCATGAACTTCGTGCAAAGCCATCGAAATACAGAAATGCCGGCATTCAAATTTTACTTTTCTCGGGCTAAATTATCACTCGTCGAAACCAAGGTTTTCAATTTGGTAAAAAACTTAATGTTTGTGAAATTTTTTAGATGGATCTTTTGCGTGTTCCAGGAGTAGATCGCACGGCGTGAAAGCGGCTCCATATTTTTGTTCAAAACGCCTCATGTGATCAACTAAATTTTGCGCTCCGTGGATATCGATGTAACGGAACGGACCTGTGACGACAATAGTGTTTCAGAATTTAAAATTTGAGCGAATAAAGGAAAAAATGACAAACAAAAAAATGCTTACCTCCAAGGTTTGGTGGAAATCCTAGACCGAATACAGCACCAATGTCTCCTTCAAGCTGTGGATAACAGAAATTGAAACACATTTACTCAGTAAATAATAATTATGTCAAGTAACATTCAAAAGTGTTACTAACCGCCTTGAATACTAAATGAAATTTCATTGAAGTAGCAATAATTACTGTTCAAACCCCTTATACAGACGTTAATACATTCGAAATGTGACTCTAAATCTATAACACTCTTTCAATACAAGAAGTTGCCACCCTGATATGTTCATGTATACTTGATACATCTCGAACCCTGACAAAAAGAAACATCAACTATTTCAGGAACAAAATATGAATTGGAACTTACTGGACTTTCAAGAATTCCGTCTTGTAAACAATGGACAGCTTCATTAGTGAATCTTGTTGCAAAACGCATCGTTACGTCAAGGTCAGATGAACTGTTTAATCAGTAAAATAAAAATGAAAATTTATCAAGCATGGCCATATATACACAGAACCTACTGTAGGACCTAAAAAAATGGCACAGAAATCAGTAAAACTTTTTTTTGCCTTGAGATCATCCAAGACTGAAGTTCACATTTTAATTGCATTAGGTATAGTTTAAATATTATTTGAAAGCTGGAAAATGAATGAATCTAAATAAGACAAGTCTATAAGGTTTGTTCAGTTGAACATAAACAAGGGCACACAAATTCACACATTTATTTAAACACAGCTTTTCATATTTGAGATTTGTCAAATACTTGCGTTTGTTCGACCTTTCCATACTCTAAAGTGAATTTTACTGAAAAAATGGTTGACCATGTTCGAAGTATCTTCACTACTTACACAGATGGATCTGGAGTGACTGCATACTTTTCGATAATCTTCAATGCATCACTATTCAAAGGACGACTCTTCGAACTTTTGCCATCATAAACGTAAAATCCTTTTCCTGTTTTTCTACCTAAAAATGAGATTAAAAAAGATATTCATATAAGATACAACACAAGAGGTCGATATTGCAACACATTCACCATTTCTAAACAATATCGGTGCCGCAATAGAGTGCGAACGGACGTGGCTTGATCTAGTCGCATTTGAACTGGCAATAGAGGTAATGGGACTGGATATACCTACCAATACATTTGGGATTAGATGTGGAAACGAAAAACCAAAAGTTGGGAATGATTTACAAAACCTACTTCAGTACTACTGTACATTCTCCTCCATCAATTTGAATGGAGCAGCAAAACATTGTAAGCACAACTCTGCAAATTACCATATTAATTCTCGAAATGGGATGGACAGTAGGAAATTTAATACTACAATACAGAAAAATTATCAGTTAGTGGAATAGGACAATCATAAAAATGACAGTAAAACGGTATTGGAAAGCTAGTCCAATGGACTATCGTCGAATGTGAAATTTGAAAACTGATATCATACAGACTGCTTGTACAACACAAGTTCACAAGCACATGAATCTCAATTAATACTTTTGCACTGATGTTAGAATGTCAGGGCATTGAATATTTATTCTTTTTGTCGTTTACTTTTAAGCTGCTTTGTGTGCAGCAGACTGTTGTATGTGCTCAAAACACATTAATTATCATCACAAATTGTGCACCACTTCTTTTTTTTTTGCGCGACATCGGAGTATTTATGCTCGAATTACCTTCCGCGTACTTTTTTTCAAATTCTCTCCACTGTGTTGTTTAGAGTAAGTGGGCATGCGCTATTCACATTTTGCGAGCTTTCCTGATTTTTGGTATATTCGTGTATCTTGCCTTGTATTGCGTCTTTGTTTTGTTTTAACAGAAAATCGAAATAAACTTCAACTTTACAATATGAATAAAAAAGGTCACAGCTACCAACCCTAGCTATGACCTATGGGTGGCTAAAAACAATTCAGTTTATTCCTAACAAAATCAGAACCATGAATTATAAATATATAAAGTATATTTACCACAAAATCCAGCAGTAACCATATCTTTCATTAAATCAATGCTTCCACCTTGCAATCTTTCTCCGAGTGCAGAACCAAGGTATTCAGCGATGTGTGTGGCAACATCAATGCCCACCTAGATTACATATGCATAAACGTCTTCATTTTTCAAAATGAATAAAGATTAAAACAGCTAATAATAAGACAAATAGGGAAGTTAGTTTTTCATCTAATAACAGCATTAACCACAGTGTATGAAGCAGAAATAATATATTTGGCAATGATAAAGACTAAGCAAAAACAAATTGAATGATATACTACCTCATCTAAAACAGTGGCAACACCAATTGGGAATCCAAATCCTGATGTAAGTTTATCTATTTTCTTCGCATCATGACCTTCTTGGAATAATCGAATCATTTCTGACAGACCAGGAGCTAAAATTCTTGTCGTGTAGAAACCGGGACCATCCTGAGTGAGAATAAAAAATTTTCAAAAAAACAGTAATCAATGAAATACGGATTCCAGTTCTTCACAATAAAAATATTTGAATTTGCCAATAAACATTAATTCTGTGTATCTCAACATAAAGAATATACTCAAATGTTTAAAAATGACTGTTGTGACTCGATGAAAAGAATCATTTGTACAGTAGTTTCAATCAGATGGACTTCTCAACAGGCAAGTTTAAAGAATCATAAATGAATACGCCCATAATACCAACATTATTAGTTTTACCTTGACTAAAACAACCAATTTTCCTTGTCTCAGACCAACATCAACGGCAGAAGCGATGGTGTCTTTTGACGTCTTGTCTGTTGTGATGATTTCCAAAAGTTGCATTTTATCCACAGGTGAAAAGTAGTGCATTCCAATTACCTAAACATTTTAAAAAGTTCATTCAAAAGACTGCGCTAACGCTAGTAAGCTACATAAAAAGAAAGTATTGGCCAAGATGCAAGATATAAATAACATTATTGCAAAAGTAAAATACAACACAATTTATTCTGGCCTTCTGAAAACTCAACACTCAAAAAACAAATCATATTACAGAAATGCCTGGAAAACAAGCAAAACTCAAGGATGAAGTTTATAACGTGTAATGCACGTCAGGCGTTTCATGTGATAGAAAAATGACGCACGCATACAAGTTGAAAACAATGACAAAGTACTTAGTGTATATCGGAGGCAAACAGGTTGCAGACATGAGACATGTCAACGCATTCGGGCAATAATTACTTTTGGTTGAAGAAAGTGCAAAAAGAAACACAACAAAACAAATGAACGCTGGAACATGTGTAGGCTACTCGCTACTTTAAAATTTGAAGGCAGTCAAACTGCTTCATATGAGAAATTGAGAACTAATAACAATCAAGATTCCATATACCGGTATTTAAAATCTAAAATTTGTATTCACAAATTTATTGTAATACAAATAAGATTTGCAAAACGGAGAAATTTAAAATTCATGTTAAAAATTTTTTAATACATACATGGAATTTAAAAAGTGAAATTAATTAGAAATATACTGAGACTCACAAATGATGTGCGAATAAAGATAAAAGAAATATGGTGATTCTTTATATTCTGTTAGTTAAACCCCTGCAACACACAAACATTCCTTACTTTTTCTGGTCTCTTGCTTGCTTTCGCAATATCAGTTATCGGTAATGCTGATGTGTTTGACGCAAAGATACAATGCTCTGGTATAACCTAAAAATTAACAAACATGTTTATATTGATTAATATCCTTCTTTTATTTTAAAAAAGAAAACCATTTTCAAACAGTGGGTACTTGCCGCTTCAGTTTCTTTTATAACTTGATGCTTTACGTTCATATCTTCAAAAACAGCTTCAACAACAATATCCGTGTTTTTCAGACTATCGTATGATAAAGTAGCATCGAGTTTGGAAACAATTTGATCTCTTTGAAAGCTGTGAAACATAAATGAACATTTTGATTATGCTCATAAAAACAACGTTTTACATCAAATAGGTAATCTTGCAATGCTATGAAAACATTTAAAAAAAAATATATATGCAGGTTACTATATTTGAAAAAGTTCGTCATACAAATAAGTAAATATATGAAAATAATCCATAAAATAACAATGATTGGTCCAAATGATAATATATCTACAGAATACGACGAAAAGTTCTGCAGGAGGTTAAAAATTCTGATAAGCTTTGACTACACTGGCCAACAACATGTTCACAGGTTTATTGCCACTACAGTCCTGCTACGCTATACATTTTTATCCAATTTAAAGTAGCATCTGAACTCAGCCGATTATCACTACTGTTTTTTAACGTGCTAGTCAGCAAGATATAAAACAAGTAGTTAAAAAGCAAAAAGCTAACCAAACATTTCGCTTACGTGGTTATTTTCTTCTTTTTTGCTTGCGTATTGAAGCCTTTGTAAATTTGTTCCTGCCCTCTTGCTAGCCCGGAAGAAAAACTGTCTTTCAAGATTGTATGGAAACCTTTGTCCAAACTAACTTGTGCAACACCAGCACCCATTAAACCAGCCCCAAGAACAGCCAAGTTCCTAAAAAAAAATCGAATCATCAAACCAAAGAAATTATTAGTAATGGTAAAAAAAAACTCTTCATCAGTCATCCAGTCTCGATGTTTATACCAATGTTCAATGACATTAAATCTTATATTATTAAATTGTCATCATTCCTACGAATCCTACTTCATTTAATAATGTACGGTAAATTTGGATAGATAGTGGAATAGAAAGTACATGCATACTCGACTTTACGCTGTGGTTTTCCATATCTGTTCTTTTTGCAATAAGTTTGTCCTGCATAAAGACCAATTAAAGCTTTGGATTCGTTTGTTTGAGAAAGTTTTCCAAACGCTTCCGATTCCATTTTATATCCTGCATCCTTCCCCTTAGCTATTCCTTCTTGAATTACCTGAAGATATTGTTTTTTAAAATTATAAATTATTATCATGTCTGATTTTATCCAAAGCAGTGTGGATTATTTTACATGACAGGCACAATTGAAAACTTTCGACTGCTTTTAAAAAAGCAAATTATGTTTTTTTTTCAAAAAGATGTCCATGCGCGGTCTGAATCCAGACTCTCTCGAGTATTCGATTCGAACCGCACCTAATTTCTTATATTAGATCATTGGCGCAAATTAGGATATGGGACGGTTTCCTTTTATTAAATGACTTTCATACTTTTATTAATCAAGGTTGTTACTTATCGATTCGGTAAGTATGTTGATAGGTATGTGTCTGTTTGAATGTCTGTTAGATGCACACGCTATCTCACGAAAGCGAGATTGAATCTGCTCCAGATTTTGCATGTGCATTCATCTTATTCATCTCGGACCAGAAGCCTATTGATTTTAGGCGAATTATGTCGTATAATTAGCGAGATATTAATTAATTAGTGATGGGACACAAGATGTCACTATGGAGTAAGAGCGCTGTTTTGGGGGATCCCCTAACTTTCGATCGATAAGTCTTCGGTCTCTGACCGATATTCTCGTTTTATAATTTGCACCTGACTATTAAAAAAACTGTAACGCCGAGGAACTGTGCGTTCAAGGATATCAAAAACTAATAGTCAAAATTTAAAAGAACAACACTTCTGTTCTGATTCGAAAACAAAACGAAAATACAAACTCACATCAGCAATTAGCAGTGGCGCAGGGTAGAGTCCTTTTGTTTGTGCTCTGACCTTCTTTTTCACAAGGTTTTCGAAAAAGTAATTGCGTATGAATTCTTTTTGTAGAAGAGAATTTATCATTCCTGAAAAATTGATGATTATCAATCAGGCTTTTAGTCGAATTAAAGCTTTCATTTACCAAACATGTATTTAAAAGCCTAAGTAACCTTCTTTCTGTAAAATTTGGCCTATTGTGCATTGAATAACCATTTTTGTATATCGCTAGAAAAATGTAGTACTCAAGCTTTATACTGATTTTGTCGGCGCACCAGAAGTATGTGTACCAATATGGAGGTAACTAATTTTGCTTATTTTACATCAAGTTTGTGTGAAAGGACTGAAACCTATGGGCAGGGGGATATTCACTAGGCTAACACAGACATTCTCCGAGCTCGCAATAGAAGTAAGATAATAATGAAGAAAATCGGAATAAAATTATGGCCTAACCCTAACATGGTACACATACTACGGGAGTACCAATTTTCCTATATAATTTAGATATTTGTGTAATTTTGTGCAATACAATCTTTATACATCTTGGTCCCATGATGTATGGCAATAAATGGTCACTTTGATCATAAAATGATGAGGGAACTTATCTAAATATAAAAAACCAATACTAAGTTATTATATATACATATATCTCAGAAATAATTTTCATTCATAGCAGTTGCATATCTAACAGTTAAGTCAAACTTTGTTCATCAACTATGAAAAATTTATCTTCAAACCAAGTCAATATCAAACTAAGCTCACTGTCTTGAAATGATAATTCCTTGCTGGAATTGACACGGATCCATCAGCAAGACCTCTTGCTACATCCACAGCTACCTTCTCTAAATATTGCATAGTCAGTGTTTCTGGATCTTGTAAACCAGGACCTATGATAACAAGAAAATGATAGTAATAAGCTGAGGGATTTTAAGTGAAATTGCTCTGCTGTTCGAATGGTCCTCTGTTAATTTAAAGCAGGATGTGCAACCCTTATTACAAAAGGGCCAGATACAAGTAACCGGGTAAAGCCGTGGGCTGCACTTTTATTTGAAATAGCCTTTCTGGTAAATGCAGGCACAAAAATTGTTTCTTTTTGATCTTACAGCATTATCAGGGGTGCAGAAATGGTGAGCTAAAATAAAATGCATAAATTTTTGAAGAAAACTGCTATTCAAATTTATTGTCACACCGACTTTAAACGAATTCAGTGAGAAACATTTTTATAACATCGTGTATTTTGCAACAGATTTTTGCTAGATAGTTTTGCGAATACGACACTGGCAATCTGGTACTGGTATAGGCTTTGAGACAAAAAAAAAGGATTGAAAATGCTTGCACATAACTAAACTAAAAACTTGTTCTGTGGGCACACCATTCAAAATTGGCACTTCTTCGCAGGCTGCAGTTTGCACACCCCTGATTTGAAGCATTATTATTTAAGAAAAAACCCAACCAATATATGCATTTATAATGAAATATGATAAAAATAAAGAGTTCTAAAACATTTGAACATTTTGCAGATTATATCTTTTATTTTCCAAATTCGGAAATTCACAATCCCCAACAATTTCTGAAATATTACAAAAACAATCTATAGTGCAGTACCGAAATACATAAAAAGCTTCTTACCTAAAGGATCAACCAAGTGATCAACAAGATTCAGTCTTTTTGCCTTTTTCGCTGGAATATTTTTTCCAGTCAATGCCATGTCTAGAGCTGTTTGAGCACCAACAAGAGCTGGGAGCCTCTGTGTTCCACCAGCACCTATGATAAGATTTATGCTAAATTACCAAAGAAAATGGCAAATTTGGAGTACACGACATAACAATCATAGAGCAAAATCATGCAAACTACGTAAAACATAGTTTACCTGGTAAAAGTCCAAGCATAACCTCAGGTAGTCCAAGATTTGTTCTTTTATCTGTTGTTGCAATACGATAGTGGCAAGCGAGAGTCAACTGGAAATGACATTAAGATAAAAGGGAATAATTGATTAATTAATTTCAATATCAAATTTAATTTGCGTATAGTATCAAGAACTCCACTAGGAAAGCAACTTAAAAAGTGACCTCATCAATTTTTTCACATTAAATTTGGTATGAAATTCCATCTGGCTGTTTCCATAACAGTGTTTGTTTCAATAGTTCTCACAAAATTCTATATTCAGGATAAAACTATATATTATCGTTCAGTGGCTACTTACAAATTTTCTATCAATACTCTTCCTATTATACATTCTCGAGTAAATCTTATGCTGCTAACACGGATATGCCCCAGAACAAGGGATGACCAAAACGGAATATTTTGCAGTTCGAATACATTCTGAGGAAATATTTTTTAATATGAAATATTGGATATATTCTAAATAGGGGGCACATTAGTTGAGATATTTTACATTTTGATCTGCTTGTCTGACGGCTCAAAATCCCCAACTTTTAAATAAAATGCTTCAAATTATTCCTAAATTTATGCTCAAAAAATTAGACTCAGACTTCATTGTTGAGCCTTGCTGCTGCTCAGAAATAAAAGCAGTTTGCATACCAAAACAGGAAAGCAATGCCCAAATGAAAAATAATAGCTCATCTGGCTTCCATGTTAACGATTTAAAAAGTCCAAACTGAGTTACCCATTGGTTGAGGAAAACTGATTTTTCACAACAATGGTAGTAATTTTTCGAACTGATCCATATGTTCACTTCAGCAACAAGCCGTTAAAATAGTTACCTCGAGACCTCCACCCAATGCCATTCCATGGATAGCAGCAACAAACGGTTTTCTACTTTTTTCAATTTCGGAAAACATTTGTTGACCACCAGCTGCAAGATCTCTTGCAGCTTCTTCGTTTCCCGCTCGTTGAATCATACTAAGTTTTATTAAAATAATTTTACAAAAAGTCAAAATACAAAAGGCTTATTAAAATTTTGAGTAAATAAACTGCATACTCTATATCTGCACCAGCGACGAATGAACCTGGTTTTCCAGATATTAGAACAGCACTTGTTATTTCCTCAGTCATTTGCACTCGATCAAAGCATTGCCTAAACTCTTCAAAAACTCCCTCACTCAAAGTGTTGAGCTGTGAAGAATAAACATATACATATTATAATAATTGTTTAACTCATTGACAATATTGACCTAACAAGTTACATCGCAAAACCACAATAACAACATGTTGAAATAAATAGAATGAGTATTAGGGCCGGGGAGCCGGAGCCTAGTACCATAACTTTTGTCCCAGCTTGAACCAAGCTCAACATATTAAATTAAGCTGAGCAGGATGAGGCTCATAGAAATTATAGTAGTTGCAGCTCCGTATCATTATATTATTTTACCATATTCAAACTTTTCTAGTTGGGTTACGAAAGACTAATTCTCTATTCTTCCTCTATGCCTTTATGCAAATGGATCCGAATGCGTATTATGCAATGATGTTGAAGCAGGAATACTACGACTACACTGTGCAATTCAAGAGTCTTGCTGCACACTAACACAAATGTATTTCTGTAACGTTTCAAGCTCATCTGAGAAAGTCAGTCTTTGGTCAGACGAAACCTTACAGAAATACACACATTCAAAAGTGTTAAATGCATTTGAACAGATATTATTTCATGGTGGTGGTTCTACCAAAAAATCTCAATGGAAAGGTCAAAACGAACCTCCTGAGATGAAGGCGTTGTGATTTCACACCATGTCCCCAGCATGATCCAAAATGAAAGAGGTAATATTCAGATGCTTTAATAAATACATGATGATGAATAAAACAAGTATATATATATATTCGACGCAATTTAAAATCTAAATCTCTCAATTCATATTTTGGGATTTAGATTAGGGAGGTGTTCACTTCACCCCTGACCCCAATAGTTAGTTACCGTAACTGCACATGATATTTGGTAGTTCCATAGTAAGGAAATTTTCATTCTCCAATACAGGGTATATCGTGTTTTTAGTATTGTATTCATAGTATTTTATCACACAAACCTTGGCATCTTGTGAATCAAGCCGTAATATAGCAACGTCATTTTTGAACTTCAAAAAGTGATGTGTTTACCTGCAAAAACAGCATTTACAAGCATACATAATATGACATATAATATAATCACTGCCAAAATGTTTGAATTGAAAAAAAAATTTAGCAATCTGCATGTCAAAAGTAAGGGTCTCCAGATGTACGCTGCTAAAGTATAGCTACAATTGTCCAAAATGGCATTTGAACCGACTATAATGAACTCACTAATGTCAGCAATCTCTCTCTAACGGTATCGTTATGTCGAGAAAAACGAGAGAAATAGCTTGCTCAATTCTGAATGACTGTCTGCGTGACCATTCGTATACTTTGAGGGCCGTATTACGGCACTGCGACTTCGCAGTGATGAGATTTTTGAATGGTGTAGTCAGGTAGGGGTTTGGAATGCGATATGCAAAAATTGTTGAGCCAGGCCGACTAGAAGTACTTCAGGAGACCCGAAAATAATACCTTTCAAATGCAAGAACACCACACTGGCATTATTAAGTTTCCAATGCAATTTCCATGTTTGGCCTACATATTTCAAGACTATCAAGAATATAACATTTGAGTGAATAGTTGTAAGAATAATACAGTACAGCACAGTTTTCCGATTCCAAGAATAACCCCCACATTGAAGAAATCAATTATAATAGCCAGTACAAATCCCTTCTTTACGAGACAGTGTGGGTCTCCATATCAGTATCGACAAACCAACCTTGTGCAATAAACTGAAATCAAAGGAAGCGCAATCGGGATTGCTCGAAAAATATAATCCAATTTACTGAAGGAAATTTTTTTTACCATAATGCCCAAATTTTTCTCACATGGAGGCCGCGATTAATTTAGATTATTACAGAGAAAAGCATGGCGTAATCTGACGCATCTGCAGTTGTGCCAGACGCCCTCCTTTCAGGGACAAATAGAATGTTTGTTTTATTGAACAAAATATCGGAAAATCTTGGGTTTGGAGAACCGTGCCCTACTGAATAAACTCATTGTCTGGGGTTAAATCAACCAGATTCGATAAGGTATCTCACCATTCATTTGAGATGAGGTTGACAGATATCTATTTGCTGAACCTGGAAATATAAAGTAGAAATTATACATGTGCCCCAAATCATGGCATATATCACATACACTAAAAATATACCTGTATACAGGCAGACAGGTGTGGTGATATACCGGTATATGTTTGTATAGAAATATTATTTAATTGGTCTGATAGAGGTAAGTTAACAGTTAGCATAACCAAATTAGTCCACTTATTTCAGTACTTACAGACTTATTACCGTGTTAAGCAAAATCTTCAAAAAAATTTATCAATTCAGTAGTTTTTGGACTACCATGATGCAGATGCATGTTATCTTAATTTGTAAATTAATGAATGTTGAATAAAAGAAATTTGAAAATTCAGCAATCCAGAAATAGTGAGATCCACAGATTGTATCAGAATATAAGATGCTTTGAGTAATCTGCATTTGTCAATATGAAATACTGAATATCAGAATACGGGAGATTAGAATAAGTCAGAATGTAGGAATGTCTGAATGGGCAAAACAACAAATGAATACAGAATCTTACCAGTTACAAATCTATCCACTGTTCTTCGTAAAACGGTATTTCGACTTAAGGATAGACATCTTATAATTGAAGACATCGTGGAGCATTGAGGAATCTTCGCGAACTATACCACTAAAGAAAAACTGAAAAACCAACAACAAATGTAAAAAAACACAATAATCCGCAAGCAATTCGCAACGAATCCCCAAAGGTCAAATGGTTAAGCCGGCATATATGATGTCATGCGTGCAATTATTACGTCATACGGAGTAACATTATCTTAGCAAATACTGTCTTATCTTACCGTTTTCTATCTTAAGATTAGTCTAAGAAATCGTATCTTTAATTAATTCAAATATAAAATAATAAATATACGATATATTTATAAGATATTTCATTATGGAGATAAGAATTTTTTAAGTGTTTTAATTTTTAAGTCCAAAGGTCATTACCTTTGCGCAATGTCACATTTCGAAACTGCATTGTTCTGCTAGTTGCCCCACAAGAAGCAGCGCCCGAACTAATATTGAACTTTTGTTGTTTATTTCTTTCTTTTTGTTTACTGATCTAAACAGAAGCTTATCACTATGTTATGATTAGAATTCGCATTTTGCCACTGGCATCGTCACATAATTCCCGTTCTAATTTTTTTTTTTTTTTTTGTATACTCTCCAACCCCTTGCGCTCACCAGAATTTTTTACAAGGGAACTTGGGATCATGGGTCATGGGATTTTTCTTGTCACTTGTGTGAGTGAATGAACACAAGCGATGGCTACACAACACTCGTTAGCCTATAAACCTTTTTTATTCCGGGTTTGTTTCTCGCTGGTCGTTTCGTACACCAGTACTTCTGGCCCAGCAACTTTTAGGCAGTCTTTCGATCGCATGTTTGATTCTAAAGTCAGCTAAAGTCTGACCATCCAAAACAAATAACTGATTACCTATTCCCAAGTTATATCTGTACTTCAGGAACATGCAACAGGTGCACATTCAATGTAATCTTTGACGAGGATGCGGCGTGTACAACAATAATGGCCATACAACCTTCGACTGCTTCATGAAAAACAGGTCTTGACAATAGCAAGCGTTCAAATTAAACGACTGAGTGGCAGGGCTGCCAAGATGAAATTCAAGGGATTTTTATCACAAAACTGGAGAGAGCAATATAATTGTATAAATTATACGTACAATTTTTTTTTAGTAAATTCCTATTTAGATATATTTTTGAATGTTTTGTTTTTCAGTCTAGATGTTTTTTGAGATCAAATTAGATGTTTTTATTCAGACAAAAGTGGCAGCCCTGTTGAGCGGTATATCAATTCAAAACATCGCTTAAGAGACCGTGACAAGTGTCGAGGTATTATTATCCCGGAATGCAGGGCAATTGCGGCCGTGCTCCCCGGGAAACAAGAATCATGACATAATCGGCGTTTGAGGGTCGTCTCTCGTCTGGCAATGCTCTAGTTTGGATCACACGGATAACAGCTCACGACTATTCACGTAGAAAAACTGTCAGCCTCGAAAAGTTACTCGAAAATGGCATCATCGGAATCAACCCGTTTATGAGATATTTTTTTCATTTTAGGATTCAGCTCGTTTGAAGTAGGGCTTGGAATGATTTATTGGTTAACCGATTTTAGAATTGTTAACGTTTACGAATTATTTAAACTGACATATCAGTTACAAATCACCTTTATACTGTACGATTTTTTTTAAATGGTTAGTTCATTGTACCTGTTTTTGAATTAGGTTTTTCACCTCGAACATATATCATGTTCTGCAAGAGTTCATTTCATTACCAATCATATATGCAATAAATGGTGACAAAACCGACTTGAATTAACCTTCTGAAACGGACCAGATTAACGGACAACAACCAGGACAGGCAACAATTGGACGGAATCTACCAAAAAGCTGACCAAGCGGAAGCTCTGAACAATTGCCAAGAAACCGTCTCTACAAAAACGTGCGAACTTACGAACGTCGGGGAGATTCAAATTGCCTGGAACAACGATTGAAGTAGCTAATTGCTGACAAGCCGAAATAATCAAAAACATTATGAAAAGACAATAATCTCAATTGAAAACAGTTGAACTATGGTAACGGACTTTGGAAACGTTAAAATCACGAAATATGGACTGTATTGAACATCGATCGAAATGAACTCTTTCAGAACATGATATATGTTCGAGGTGAAAAACCTAATCAAAAAACGGACTGTTGAAAACAATGAACTATATGGACTGCTTTACGGTAAATTACGCGCTCTATTCTGAATAATAGAGAGAGGAATTTTCGCGCATACCTAATGGATATACAGATCAGGAGCATGTAATTCTACAATTTGTTACTTATCGATCTTAAGATCGGTAAGTATATTGATAGGTATTTGTATGTCTGTGTGTGTGTGTGTGTCTGTTAGATGAACGCGATATCTCGCGAATGCGAGGTTGAATCTGCTCCAAATTTTGCATGTGCATACATCATATCTCGGACCAGAAGCCTATTGATTTTGGGTTGATTATGTCGTATATTTAGCGAGTTAATAATTAATTAGTGATGGGACACACGGTGTTGCTAGAGGTTCAAGAGAAGAAATCGAAAGGGATTGTGTGCGTAACAATGCCCTGTCTGCGATGCTATCAAAGCCGCAGTTTCTGTTTTGGGAGATCCCCTTTTCCATACGATTGTGTGTGTGTGTGTGCGTAACACTGTTCTATCTGCGATGTTGAGCGTTTAAGTATTTCAGTTACATGCCGCTTCGACATCACTGATCTGGAAACATTGAATAAAAACCATTCGGATACAATCGGAACCATCCGTCGTATACAATCTTTGCGTTTGACACTAACTATAGAGCTATAGGATAGTCGACGGTCGCCATTGCCGGTGGCAAATAGGCTATTGACTGAAACCAAATCTAATTCTTTACCAAAATATCGCTAGGCTGTGGTTGAATAGCCGTCGCAATTGCGGTTAGCGCCGTTTTATTTGACACAATATATACTATAGGATAGTTGGCGTTAGCCATTTTCGGTAGTAAATTGGCTACTGGCTGAAAACTGATCAAAACGGTTCAGTTCGGATTTGCAAATTTATTCATAAAAGTATTTCCTCGAGTAGTATTTCGACGACAACGTGGGGAGTTGGCTGTTGTTTACTACATATTTTGATATAACGCGATGCCCAAGATGAAGAAAAAAAGTTTAGAGGTTAAAAAGAGGGAGAGAAAGGCTAAAAGTAAGGCCGAACAAACTTGGAAAGACAGTGTTCGTCTCACATCTTTCAATGACAAGGATAGTGATAGTGCTGCTTCTGAACGTTCTCTGTCACAGTGGCTTGCGAGTGCTCGCTATGGTATTGGTGACACGATATCACTGGTTTCCGGAGAAATGCTATCTGGTATTGTTAACAAATCTCGGCAAAAGCACCCAAATGAAACTGAGATGGGTACCTTATGTCGACTTGATAAGGCTAAAAAATATGGCGGAGGTGCGAAAATGGGAGACCACACAGAAAAAATATATCGTCGAGAACAAGACAAAAAACAGACGGCCGCGGTTCGTGCGCGCGAAACGGCTCCGGAAAGATCTGTCCGTCTCCAACAAAAGAAAAACGGACGGCCGAGGTCCGTGCGCGCGAAACGACTCCGGAAAGATCTGTCCGTCTCCAACAAAAGAAAAAACGGACGGCCGCGGTTCGTGCGCGCGAAACGGCTCCGGAAAGATCTGTCCGTCTCCAACAAAAGAAAAACGGCGGCCGAGGTCCGTGCGCGCGAAACGACTCCGGAAAGATCTGTCCGTCTCCAATAAAAGAAACAACGGACGGCCGAGGTCCGTGCGCGCGAAACGGCTCCGAAAGATCTGTCCGTCTCCAACAAAAGAAAAAACGGACGGCCGAGGTTCGTGCGCGCGAAACGGCTCTAGAAAGATCTGTCCGTCTCCAACAAAAGAAAAAACGGACGGCCGAGGTCCGTGCGCGCGAAACGACTCCGGAAAGATCTGTCCGTCTCCAACAAAAGAAAAAACGGACGGCCGAGGTTCGTGCGCGCGAAACGACTCCGGAAAGATCTGTCCGTCTCCAACAAAAGAAAAAACGGACGGCCGAGTTTCGTGCGCGCGAAACGGCTCCAGAAAAATCTGGCCGTCTCCAACAAGACAAAAAACGGACGGCCGAGGTTCGTGCGCGCGAAACGGCTCCGGAAAGATCTGTCCGTCTCCACAACAAAAAACGAAAGCCGAGGTACGAACGAAGGAAACTATACATGAAAAAACTGCTCGTCTAAATCGAATAAAAAAACGCGCCACGGACGTTCGTCAACATGGAGAAAAGAACACAAACTTTACTTATATACAGAAATTTCATCACCATATTTCCAGTAGCGCAGATTTTCCCTGCACTTCATGCCACCGTTTACAGTACAAAGTTAGTGTAGTGAAACTCAATAAAACTGCTTACAAGAACGTAAACATGAAAATAATTGAATGTGTTCTATCATTCGAAATTAAGTCACCAGATGGAAACGTGTACATTTGCAGAACATGTCACATATCGTTAAAGAATGGAAAAATACCTTGCCAATCTAAAGCGAATAATATGACGATAGCGGACCAACCAGCTGCTTTAAAAGATCTGAATGTGCTAGAACTTCGTTTGATTTCACAGCGAATCCCTTTTATGAAAATTCTTGGACTTCCTTGTGGCAAGCAACGAGGAATTCACGGTCCAGCAGTCAATGTTCCCTCTAAGTTACACGTCGTATGTGATCAATTTCCTCGGTTGCCCTCTGAATGTCAGTTGATTCCATTGAAGTTAAAACGTAAATTGTCCTACACATCGCATTACATGTATGATTATGTGCGAATTGATAAAGTCATATGTGCACTGAAATGGTTGAAAATTAACAATTTCTTGTATAAAGATATCATTATCAACGACAATTATATTGAACATGCTTCAAAAAATGACGAGGAATTGTGGAATGCTATGTTTATCGACGACAACGATGACATGCAGTTAAATTCTAATGAATCGGTCAAAAACATTCCCGTAGCACCAGATATTCAAACAACGTGTGCTTCTCGCCATTCCTCTGATAGCGAGAAAAAGCGTAGTTCAACAAACTCATCATCCACAAATGTTTCGTATTCGCCGACATGTACGGGTAGCGTTTCGAGTCGCAATTTATGGAACACTTCGCAAACGCAGGGAATGAAAATGATAAACGTTCCATCAGATGGAAATTGTATGTTTAACGCCGTCTG